AAGCTGAGTTGATGCGTTTTGTAGCTAGGAACATCAGGGCTATTTCACCTTTGAGATGGGACTTGAACTCGGGACAAGGTGTTTTGACGCAGTTTGACAATGGGACTATAGGTAGTAGACCCCAAATAGTGAATGACAGTGGAACTGCACCAGCTGACTTGAGTCAGCTACCTCCTGAAGAGTTGGCCTTCTTATCTTCTTCCTTACCTGCCTTGCTGTCAGAACCATGCCGCCTTCTTCCCACTTTTATCACTGCTTTTCCCCCTTCTTCCTTGCTGTCTTGTCGGATGCTGGGTCTGCTTTCTCACGCTTAATCCGCGGTTGCCCCTCTTCGCGTCGCCCTTTTTTGATTCCCTTCTTTTTAACGTTGCTGTCGGGTGCTGAGTCATCCTTCTCACCGCTTGCCCCTGGTTGCCTTCCTTCTCTCCTTCCTTTGCGTCTCCTTGCTCGTCTCTATTTTCGATTGCCTTGCTGTCAGCTGCTGTGTCTGCATTTTGGCAGCTTGCCTTTAGTTATCTCCTTTTCGGGTCTCCCCATGTTGTCTTTCTTCTTCCATGCCTTGCTGTGAGATGCTGTGCCGGCCTTGTGGCAATTTGTTTCCCCTCTTGTCTTCCTTCCTTCTCGTCTTTTGTCTCGTCCTATGACGAATCTGATTTATCGCGGTTCCTGCCTCCCGTTGTTTGCCTGCTCCTCGTCTAGTGATTTTTCAATGGGATGCCGTGTTTTTGCCTCCAGTTGTTTCCATTCTTGTCCCCTGTCTTTTCTCTGGGATGTTGCCTTCCTTCTCCTTCTTACTCCTCCCTTTTCGTTTCTCTTGTTGCCTCCCTTCTTGTCGTCCTATGCCGTGTTTTTCTTTTCTCCCGGCTTGTCTCCCTTCATGTTTGAAACTCAGAAGTGTCCTTGGTTTTCATTCAGACAAACACCAGTTCCTCCAAGGAAACTTGCCTTCTTTAGTTTTTTAAAAAGTCTCGTAAAAGGTGTTTTTAAAGCCTCTAGGCAAAAAGTGAACATAGGGGGTACGAGTGCAAATGAACGTGGTGACGGATGTGCGTGCGACCCAGCGTACGTGTAAGCGTATGAGTGGAGGGACGCGTGATGTACGGGTGGACGGACGTGTGCGTACGAGTGGACGGATGGATGTGTGAGCGTACGTACGTGCGTTGACACGTTCACTCGTCACTTGCGCGCACATGTACGAAAATAAGGTCGACTGGAGTCAACCTTATTTCTGTACGTCTCGTTTTTTTTACATATTTAGTCTTGGGAACTTCAGACGCACAGAAATAAGGTCGACTCGAGTCGACCTTATTTTCGCACGTGCGCGTGCAGGTGACGAGTGAACGTGTCAACGCACGTACGTACGCTCACACGTTCGTCCACTCGTACGCACACGTCCGTCCACCCGTACGTCACACGTCCGTCCACTCGTACGCTTACACGTACGCTGGGTCGCACGCACGTCCGTCACCTCGTTCATTTGCACTCGTCACCAGACGTAGGCTCTCCAAGATCACTACCTGTTACGCGACTTTAAAAAAACCAATGCCTTCTGGTTTAAACTGTTTGGTTACCACCGCGGTGTAGCTCATGTTTCGTCCGTCACAATGTTTTTTTTCGGTTTCTCTGAAACAAGGTACGCCAATATTCAAAACTTTATCATAATCTACCCAATCAAAATGTTTTTTTGCGGCATCCCCATTTTCAGGCACACCCATATATTGAACATGTTTGTTCTTAACATGTTGGTCAGGATCGATGACTTGTGGGAGGTTTCCTTCATTTGTGTCTCAAAGTTGGTGGTTGTTTTTGGATTTTTTTCAGCCTCTCGTCTCCCAAATGTGCTGGTCGTTTTGACCGTTTTCCCTGAAAAACTGTTTTTGAACCTTTCTCAAGATGCATATGGCATATGATTCTTGTTTGGATGGTGATGCACGGAGTTCCCAAAATGACATTGTTAGACTATCGGGGTGAAAACCAACACTTTTCAATGGACCAAAAAATTGTTTTCCAGCACGTTTTCCAACGGGTTTGATAGAAACGACAATTGACAAAAAATGTGAAACATCCTTGCCACTTATCTATGTTGCAGATTCAGCACCTCTAAGGTGATATTTTGATGGTTCATCCTATATGGAAATCACAACTTACACCATTTTTTTTTTTTGGTGGTGATGCTGTGCAATAGGCCATCCTTGGTTGACGCGCGCCAATCAAAAGATATGTTGTCCTGTGCCCAGACACGCCAATGGAACGATGCCCCAATTTTTCTGTGGATTGATGTAGAGCAGAAGATGGGATTTTACACAACGTGGAGATGACTTTCTTGGAACAAATATTCGACAGTTTTGGGAATTTCACAAAACGACCAAAAAACCTCTTATTGCCTTGAAACAATCTTGGTTGTAAAACAGGGAACCTGTCGTATTTGATTGACCGATAAAATCTGTTCATTAGACATATTGATGAGACATGTCGCTGAATCATTGAACAGATTTTGGATGTGGTTTGAGAGAGTGGGGATGATCCTGAAAATGTCCACAACGTTTGGCTTAAAGACCTTCAACAAAGAAGGCAAACAAGACATCTGAGTCTTGTCAATCCAATTCACTTCATATCTCTTCATCATCAAAGATGTTACATGCAACATGCAATTTTGTATGAACAATTGGATTGTTGGATCATCACATTTCGGACAATCAAATCCCTTTTTGATTTTTTTGATTTTTCATTTAGGCATTTCATCCGTTGCCTCGTCATGTTGCCTGCATCGTCATCTGGAGCCGGGTTCTATGAACTGAATGTATTCCATTTGGAAGCCGGAGAGACCCCACCAGCGGCGCTCCAGCCCCAGGCCCAGTACACGTACCACTGTACCGAAAGCCTCGACCAAGTGGCCCTGGATGTACACCAGAATTTGTGCGTCCCCCACCAAGTCCATACATGGGCCCTGTGGCTGTCTCCACTGCCGCTTTCAGATGACGAAGCCAGTGATGACGCCAATGGCAACGAGGACAATGCCCCGGATCTGGCCACCGCACCTAGTGCTCCCATGGCCATGGAAGCAGCAGTTGCAGATGAGGCTGCCATCACAAGCACCGGCGAGACCGCCGTGCCTGACAGTCGCACAGGTGATGCCGCTCCTGGACCTGTGGTACCGGCCCATCCAGACCAAGCACTTTTCGATCTGGCATTGACAAGGATCCAGCTCCCCTTCTTGCATCAGCGCAAATTTGAAGAAATGCTGGCACACGCGCTGGCACAGGCAACCGAAGTGCACACTTCGGCCGGACTCTCGGAAGAGGAGGCCTTGGCGGCCGCTCGATCTGCGGCCTGGACATTTCTTCGAGATATGGGCCCACCTGAGCTTCGGCGTGCAAAGCGACAGCGCTTCTACCACAGCACCGATTCTGGAGCTGGACATTCAAAGGCATCACGCAAAGGCTGGTATGGCTGAGGACTCCCAGGAACTGGCAGACAGGCCGCTGTTTTTGGCCATCGCTGCAGCGGCTTCGGTAGAATTTTTTGGAGAAGGTAATCATACCTTCAAATTTCAAATGCACCCAGTCAACAGAGACAGGTGCAGATTCCGATGCCCCGATGATGAAAACAGATTCATCTCATCCTTTGGCAGCCAGTTCAGTCTTCAGTTCACTCATTTGCAGCTATTCTTTTCCTTTACACTCACAGATTCCTTTTTGTGTCCATTCTCGTTTATGGCTACAGTTTTGTCTGGGACATTTCATCTCTTACACTGTCAGCAGGAACATCTCACATATGTCCTCCATTCCTTTTTCTTTGGCTTTAGTTTTGACATGTCATATGGCCGGTCGCGATGGGGTCCGAAATCTAGGGGGAATGTCCGAACCTCAAGAGGGCCCAGGGAATGACTGTATACGACATGGAAAGTGGAATGGACAGTGAGTTAACAGGGATTCTTTAAATCTGAATGACTGTGGAAGGTAATATAGGAATCAAGTATGTCGAACCGTTCCGTTCAGGCCGAGGCGGCTTCTGCCGTGACCTCAAATCAGAGACATCCGAGTCGTGAGGTTGATCGAAAATTTTGACAGTCAGATTGAATTGACATCAGAGTCAATTGAACATTTGATTCTATTCTCATTAGGCTGAACTCGAAGGAGTTTGGACCTCAACGGTTGGTTGTCTTTTGATTTAGGGGAACCACAGACACTGTTGCTCTTGTCAGACATCAGAGTCGGTCAGAGTTAGTCTGTATGGTTGTGAGTGATGGTTTGTGGAGGTTGAAGAAGGGCCACCAGAGGCTTGACTCATGTGAATATGAGTGATTTCAGTTCCATCATTTGATGATCCCTTGACATCTGAGTCAAGAGAGTAATTGATGGCTGAGTCGCACCTGGGAGGCAGTAACAGAGCTCCAGACAGGTGGAGGACGTGACCAGGTCGATCCTGAAGAGTCGGTGAGGACCTCATGGGTAGCCGTACATCAGAGTACTGGCATGGAAATTGACAGCAGAGTCGTGTGAGGCCACTAGAAGTGAAGGGCAGGGCGACAGGCACAAGCCTCCGAGCCCAGTATCATCCTCAGGCCACATGGTGAAATCTTTTAACCTAAGGGCATTAGAAGATCTGTTCATCAACAGTTGTGAGCGGAAGCTTCAGGTAGGTGAGCATCGTGTTTCTCAGGCGGGTGAGATCCGTGTGATGTTCACGAGTGAGATAACATTCACATGTAGGGGTCACCGTAGCTAAAGGGTGTTCACCATGCAACCCGTCAGGATGGTCCCCGATCAAGTACGTCCACGAGAGACAGTGAGACGTTCCGGTTGCATCCGTTAGGTCCTCCTCGTGAGTGTACAGAACCCACGTCAGAGCATCCGTTAGATCTTGCATCCGAGCATCCGTTAGGTCCTGCCGATGTTAATGCTGAAGGGTCAGAGGGATTTCCTTGGTGTGGTGAACCTGAATTTGATGAAGAATATTGGGAGCCAGACCAGTCTCCTGAGTATGAGCCATCTGATATGATGCCAGACCTTGTCCCAGAGATCCCAGCAGAGCACTTGGCAGATCCGATGAGTCAGACTGCTTGGAAGCGTTTTGCCCAAACTGAGCTTCAAATGGACGAGCTAAGGAATATTAAGCAGGCCAGGGTCATGAGCCTGAGCGAGTCTTTTTCAAACGAAAGCTTTGGAAATTCTCTGTCCTCAATGCTGTCGATGTCGTCGAACAGCCTGAAGTTCTTGACCCAACATCCAGAAGCTGATCCAGAAGCCAGGGATAGTTTGGACGCCATCCAACGTTTGACATATGTACGGAGAGTCAGGATCGCCCGATCCGACGACGACCTGAGAGATGCCAGCTTGACCAAGCTGAAGAGCATCCTGCTCATGGATCCGACGACGACGAGGTTAGGAGAACTTTTGGTTCCTGTATCATCCAAACCGTTGTCCGACCATGACATCCGTAAGTCCCTCGAACAAGCCTTCTCGAAAAAATCCTCAAATACTCTTTATAAAAGAGCATGTGCCCTAACGAGATATGTAGAATGGTTTTTATTGCTCAATCACCGGGGCTCCCCACTCAGATTGAAGGAATTTGACATCTACTCGTATCTAGGACACTTAGAAAGTGGAAAAGCCGGTGCAACAGCAGCATCGAGCTTCTTGGAGGCCTTGAGATTCTTGGATTCGGTGGCGGTTCTAACATGTGCTGATCTGGGGTTGGTGCTGTCACCCCGGGTCACAGGTTTCGCCCACCAACAATTCCTACGCAAAGCCCCACTCAAGCAAAAAGATCCAATGCCATGCCTGGTAGTGGCCGAGCTGGAGAAACTCTTGCTCAGGCAAGAGGATAGTGTCCAGACTTGCATACTGGGACAACTCCTGTGGTGTTTTCATGCTGCAAGTCGGTGGTCTGATTCAATGAGACTTCAGTGTCTGAAGCTGGAGAAGATCAAAGATGTGGCGTTGGTCACTGGCGAAGCATTGGGATCGAAGACATCGGTGACAAAAGAGGCACAAACCAGATTGCTGCCATACGTTGCGATCGGCACTGGAGTGAGTGGCATGCTCTGGGCAGAAAAGTGGTTGGACGCTCGTGTGGAAGAGCTGGGAAGGGAACCAGAACCCTTCTTACCATCCTTTTCATGCAGAACAGGGAGGTGGTCCTCAACACCTATGTCCAGTTCCGAGGCTGGTGGATACCTTCAGGACTTCGTGGAGGAGGTCAGACATCTGATGGAGCCGTTCCCAAAGCTCGATGTCCAAAATTTGGGGACTCACTCTCTGAAGACTGGACTGTTGACTATGGCGGCCAGATCGACTGCAGTCAGATTCAGCATGGCTGAAAGGAGAACTCTTGGCCACCACATCAAGCCCGGCGATCGCTCTGTATTGACTTATAGTAGGGAAGCCTACACAAGTCTATACGCGAAAATTCTGGCGTGCTTCCGGGAAATACAGCTCGGAAACTTCCGCCCTGACTCGTCGGCCTTAGAGAGAATAATCGAGGCTGCGGACACCATGGCCTCAGGCCCTCCAGTCCAAGTCGACGCTGCCCCTTTGGAAGCAGATAAAGTGGAAACAGCCGACCTTTGGGAAATTTCATCCGAATCCTCGGAAGAAGCGCAGGGCTTGATTGGGGTCCTTGAGTCCCAGGAAGAAACGGTTGGTAGGAAGCCATTCCCGGGGGAACACGAGGTCAATTGCATTGTCCACAGGAAGAGTGGAATTGTGCATGGGTTGACTTCGTCCGGTGCCACAACCTTGTGTGGCCGACATGTTTCTGCCAATTATGTTGCGTTGGAAAGAGCAGCCATCGATGACATGGAATGCTGCATTTTGTGCGGCCGCCAACTGAGCAACATCGCCGCGTGAAAGAGAAAAAAGGGTGTGAGTTGGAAATGCACTTTCCCTAGCAGTGAAATTTCCAGTAGCATTGAGAAATCATAATGGCAAGCTGACACTATGCCGTGCACAGCTGAGGACCATCAGAGGTTCATCATTCATGAATAATGATTGTAAGTGGAAACATGCACAGATAAGGGCCATCAGAGGCTCATCATTCATGGATGTGACCATTTACAAGGGGAAAACAGATGATCAGCAGAGATCATGTATTGTGGTTCACAGCGAAACCAACCGACATCCGAACCCCCCTTCATATCCCTTCATATCTGGTCTTAGCAATGGCGGGATCTGCCACCGAAGTCTTTTTGGCCACAATATGTGCTTGGTTAGAGGTTGACCGATCGATTACATCGGAGTTGTTGTATAAAGTTGAAGGAATGTCCGACTTCTTAGCGAAGGTGATCCGGCATGTCGGCTACTCTTGCATCACTGAGCACCTCGCTACAGTGTGGGTGTTGGCGAGGCGGGCCCTGTGCATCATGCGCGGTGTGCCCATGGAACACACCTTGAACATCAGTGTATCTTCTTTGGGTGCCATCAACCAGCATCCAAGAGGTTTCCGATCACTACGTGAGCTGGACCGAACAACCTTAGAGCTTGAGGCCGATTTGACCCTGTCAGTGCTGGAAGAATGGATCCTTGCGTGCCCTCCGAATCAACCGCTTGAAACCATCATATCTTTGACCCAGGAAACGGTGATGGATATCCAAAGCATCATCGAAGATCGATCATCACAGACTTCATGATCGCCAGAGAACAACAGAGTTCTTCAGGCAACTGCAGACAGAGCAGTGATCGGTCGCGGGGTCAAAAAGGTCAGTGTAGCGCGGCTGGGGGCATGTGAGAAGGAAGGTGGCATCAGAGCCACAATTGATAAGCACTGACAGCGAAAGAATAGTCACTTGCTGTGGCATCTGAGCCATTGACATAGTTGCTATGAGAGACATGTCCACAGATCTCACGTGAAACACTCTTGTTGCTTGCCCGCAGCCCGATTTTCGGGGTAGGCAGCCTCATCAGAGAGGTGATGACATTGGAATTGTGATCATTCATTTTTGTTACTCCAAAGGCACTCTAGGTACTCGACATCACACCAGACAAACAAGATAATCTGCAGCTATGAGCAAAGGTTAACATGTGATCTCCTGAATTTTTCATCCTTAATAGGATCGAACTGCAGCCATGTCCGCTCTTGATAGTAAGGCCGCATTTACAGAAAGAATGAGGCAACTAGGGGTGGAAGACGAACTGAAAGGAGAGCTGCAGACGAAGGGTTTTGAGACATTTGGTTCTCTGGCATTTGCAGTATCGACAACTCCGCAACAGATCACAGATGCGATTCTGGATGCATGGCTCTTGAAGGTCACCAATAGAGATCTGAGCCCCTATCAGACATCATGCATCCGTAGACTGGTGGTGGAATCCCATGCCTTAGCATTGAACGATCTGCAAAGAAAGGTTGACCAACCTTCCGATCCCCAGTTATCTCATCGAAAGTTACCAATGGCAGAACGCCAGACTCGCCAGTTAGAGCAGGAGACGAGGCTGGAGGGAATCATGTTCTCACCTGAGGTAACTCCGAGCCATGCACTGGTGGATCTTTGCGTTAACATGTTGGAGCAGAATGTTTTGACTTGGATCAAGCCGGAGGAGTGTACATCACGATCACAGGAGATCCAGAGTCTGAAGCGCGACCCAAAGGTGTCACTGGATGCAAGCGGGACCATCAAGATCACGTCCAAGACGGTGAACACCACCTGCGCTGTCAGCTCAGAGCTGGACCTTAGAAATGCTCTGCAACGCAGATCTCTAGCAATGGACCAAGCCAAACTCTGTTCATTTAAGGAGATAGAATTGTGGGTACAACATCTGTTTCTATCGCATGAAAGAGCTCAACCATCAGGCTTTGCCTCAGTCACTCTGCAGCAGATCATTGAATGCGACAAGCAGATGTTCATCCGTGCGTCCAACAATCTAGTTGGCCAGCTGCAGGGTGAACCAGGCAGCTCCATGACGCCCTTGGACAAGGAAATCAGGGCGCTGCGAACATCCCCTGAGTTGATGCCATACCTGATGCCTATGCCAGTCCGGCCTGCACCCAAGACCAATCCTAAGCCAGACAAGAGGCCAACATCCGACGCATCCGATCGCCCCAGTAAGTATCAGAAAGGTAAGGGCAAAGGCAAGACAAAGGGCAAGACAAAGACCAAGTCAGGCTCCATTGACATCCCGCCGGGCTGTGTGACGAAGACGCCAGAGGGCAAACCGCTGTGTTTTGCCTTCAACAAGGGCGTGTGTGGATTTAAAGGATCAGGCCCACGGTGCCAAAGAGGATATCACCTGTGCTACAAGCAGGGCTGTCATAAACCCAAGCCCTATCATGAATGCAGTCACTCAACCGAGTGACAAATGCAGGGCCCCGGCGGTACCCCAACACAGCAAGATCCGCCAAGCCCGGTTTCACCTAATAGTCAGCAGCCCTTTGCAGTAGAAATCTGTTGTGGGCAGGCGTCACTCTCAAGAGAGTTGATCAATGTTGGATTCTCAGTCCTTGCAGTGGACCATGTCATGCACGACCCCCAGGTGCCTGTCACCCTTTTGGATTTGACCCAGGCTAGCCATCAGAAAATCTTAATCGATCTTTTGAATAATAGACCGCCTGATTATATCCACTTAGGAATGCCATGTGGCACCGCCTCCCGAGCCCGGGAAAGGCCCGTTGCTCAAGATAAAATTAACCAAGGGGCCCCACAGCCCCCTCCACTGCGGTCTGCAGACCATCCATTAGGCTTACCCCACATTAATCCAGAATCCACATCCGGCGTAAGACTGACAAAAGCGAACATCTTGTACAGATTTGTAGTCGACATCCTCCTGATCGCCATGAAATATAAGTCAGTGATCAGCCTGGAAAACCCTTACAGATCTTGGTTCTGGGCAGCCATTTTGGCATATGTTCAGGCTCAGAACAATCCGGATCTTACTAAGTTTTGGGATTCACTCACAGAGATTTTCTTTCACAACTGCTGCCATGGGGGCCAAAGAAAAAAGGGCACTCGTTGGAAATCTACTACAGGTGTCTTCGATCAGCTCACGGCACACTGCCAAAATGACCACAGCCACTTGCCTTATCAGGTTCGATCTCAAGATGGCACATGGACATTCGACACATCCGCAGAGGCCGCATATCCACAATTGCTGGCGGCCAGAGTTGCAGCGGCAGTCAAAAAGTTTTTGGTATCCAAAATTTTTTCCTTTTCTACACCCCCAATCCCTAGAGAAAAGACCCTAGCCGCTCAACATCGCCAGCATAAAAAGAGGAACCAACTCATCCCAGAGTTTGTCACAACCAGGTGGCTGCCGCCCACCATTAGCCTCACCGACCAACAAAAATTGATCCCTTCATCTCAAAGGGGGGAATGCCAGGAAGGGAACTCACAAGAAAGGTCAGAAGGAGACGTCTTGGTGGGAACTTGGTACACACCGATGCAATTTGTGAAAGAAGCCAGGAACGTTACCCATCCAATGGATGAGAATGCCTTGGAACACATCACAAGAGATGCGATTGAGTACGTAGCTTGTAACTCACCAGAGTTAGTGTCCATTGAGAGGAAGAAGAACTTGTTGAAGGCTAAGATCTTAGCCAAGCAGTTGGAGGGTCAGGAGAAGAGGTTGCACGAGAACCTCCCAGAATCGGTTGAGAAGGTGGTCCGAGGGAAGAAAATCCTACTCTGGCAAAAGCTCCTGGAGCAGTCAGGGTATGACGACATGGAGGTGGTGAAGTTTATGAAAGAAGGAGTGCCGCTAGTGGGAGCTCATGATCATCCTAAGTGCTACCCTCTCAAGATCAAGCTGGCGTCCACGACGGAAGCTGAGCTCAGAGATTCAGCCTTGCCGTGCAGGCTTGCCCTAGAGCATAGGAGGCCCCAAACTAATGAACCTGGGTTCGCTGAGCACTTGGAGGAGACGGCACAAGAGGAAGTAAACCTGTCATTTCTGGATGGTCCGTACCACTCGGAAGCTGAAGTGACTGAAATCCTGGGCCACCGAAACTGGCGCATTGTGCGGCGATTTGTCATAGAGCAGGGTTCGAAACTGCGTCCGATTGATGATGGGTTGGAGGCGCAGCTGAACTCGGCTTACACCTCGACGATTAGATTGGACTTGCAAGATGCCGATTATGTGATTGCTTTGACATTGGAACTCGGAAAGAGGGCTGGCCTGAATTGGGTAGGAAAAACTCTGGACTTGTCTAAAGCCTATAAACAGTTACCCATTAAGCCGGAACACCGGGACCTAGCGGTTGTGTTCTTCAGGGATAGCGCCGGGAAAGCTAGGTACTATATTCCGAATTCCTTAATGTTTGGGTCGACAGCGGCTGTTTATGCCTTTAACCGGGTCAGCCGATCACTTTGGTTTCTGATCAATGTTCTTCTGAAGGTACCGTCGGCGGTGTACTTTGATGATTACCCCATGTTCTCCCCAGAAAAAGCCGCAGCAGAGACGGACGCTATGGTGTCAGATTTCTTGGACCTCTTGGGTTGGCGACATGATCGGACGGGTCCGAAAGGAAAACCGTTCGCGCCTTCATTTGACGTTTTGGGCCTGACACTTGATCTGTCATCATTGCACCGAGCAGGGGTGGTGACCTTGAAAAACAAGGAAGGGAGAGTAGACAAAATTTCTTCAAAGATAGAGGGGATTCAAAAAGAGGGCAACATGAGCTTGTCCGAAGCTCAGGAACTCCATGGCCTCCTGAATTTTGCAACAGGGTACTTTTCGGGGAGAGCCTTAAGGTATGCATGCTTCAAAATTTTTGGCCTTGTGGAGAAGGGCGAATCCCGATCCAAGCCATTAAAAAAATGGTGCGAGGAAGTTCTCGTTTTACTCAGAAGCGTCCAGCCCCGAACCATTCCGGTAGCCATCAATACTCGGACAGTTCTCATCTTCACGGATGGGGCCTGGGAAAATGGTATTGGAGGTTTGGGGGCCGTACTCTTGGACGAAACCACGGGTTCTAAGTTGGTTGTACAAGATAAGGTGCACCAAAGTCTGTTGGATTTGTGGGCAGACCAAGTTGGTGAGCAACTGATCTGTCAGATAGAGCTCCTGGCCATGGTCCTGGTGCGCTGGCAGTGGATGCGTGAACTTCATAACCGTAGAGTCCTCCTGTTTGTCGACAACAATTCAGCAAGGAGGGGGGCCATCAAAGGCCGGTCTAACAGTCAATCAATGGATGACTTGATAAAGGCCTTCTACGCGATTGAAGTGCATTTGCCATCATTTTGGTGGATAGAGAGGGTGCCCAGCAAGAGCAATCCTTCAGATGAGCCGTCTAGGATGGAAGGTGAGAAAGCATCAAGACGGTGGGACGCCCAATTCATCCAAGGGTTCCAGTGCCAGCAGTTAGTGGTAGACTGGTTAGTGAGAGCCGCCAACAGACCAATGACTAGCCAGTGATCAAGTCGGTTCAACGAAAGGGGGAAAATGGAAACCGATCCATCCTAACAAGGCACCAAAGCCGGTAGACACCAGCAGCAGGTTGGGTCAGGAATTGTACAGAAGCCATCCGAGATACCGGAATCTCGATCAACGACATGTACCCCCGATTGGAAAAAGAAAGCGGCTTGCGGCTACGTCTTTCACAGCTTGAGTTGGCACACTTGAATCCTGTTTGACTCAGGGTTTTTTGGTTCGAATAACAAGTGACAAGAAGGGATTTTACACAACGTGGAGATGACTTTCTTGGAACAAATATTCGACAGTTTTGGGAATTTCACAAAACGACCAAAAAACCTCTTATTGCCTTGAAACAATCTTGGTTGTAAAACAAGGAACCTGTCGTATTTGATTGACCGATAAATCTGTTCATTAGACATATTGATGAGACATGTCGCTGAATCATTGAACAGATTTTGGATGTGGTTTGAGAGAGTGGGGATGATCCTGAAAATGTCCACGACGTTTGGCTTAAAGACCTTCAACAAAGAAGGCAAACAAGACATCTGAGTCTTGTCAATCCAATTCACTTCATATCTCTTCATCATCAAAGATGTTACATGCAACATGCAATTTTGTATGAACAATTGGATTGTTGGATCATCACATTTCGGACAATCAAATCACCTTTTTGATTTTTCCCTCCCTCCCTCCCTACAACAGGGGGGGAAAATGGAAACCGATCCATCCTAACAAGGCACCAAAGCCGGTAGACACCAGCAGCAGGTTGGGTCAGGAATTGTACAGAAACCATCCGAGATACCGGAATCTCGATCAACGACATGTACCCCCGATTGGAAAAAGAAAGCGGTTTGCGGCTACGTCTTTCACAGCTTGAGTTGGCACACTTGAATCCTGTTTGACTCAGGGTTTTTTGGTTCGAATAACAAGTGACAAGAAGAAATGGTGATTTTCCATAGTTAGTTTACCAGAGGGTACATTATGTTTCCGAATGTATACGGGTGAACTACAAATTGAGTTTTTTTTCCCCTGTGTGGAACCGCTGAAACTATCATCAGATTTTTTTTTGAACAAATGAACATGAACGCCAATGACCATTATCACTGTTTTTGGCGCCTTTGAAACTGCATAATTTGCTGACTGTTTAATGTCAGATCCGCAGAACATCTCGAGGCCGGAAAATGGAAGATAAAAACACAGAAAACTTGGGTACACAAAGACTTTCTATGAGGCGTTACTTGAATGAATTTGTTGGACTTTGCATTTTGTTGACATGTTCTATCCAAATGGTTCCCGACCATCGTGAATTTGATCCAGAAACCAAGATGGGTCCAGAACATGGAATGGCTGAAAAAATGGAAAAAATCCGGACACATGTTCAAATGCCAAACCAACGACCCCGGGAGGGAAAAACATCAAAGTACATTCGATTACAACACTTTGTTTTCAACGTTTCAACAAAGAAACATATTTAACACAGAACCCGTTTTGCAACCAAAAAATGGAACTGGCATGGAACTCATTTTCTGTTTTTCGGGTTGTTTCCAGAAAATTTCATGTCACTGTAACTACACGGGCGCAAGCAGAGCCGGTGTGGCAACACCACCCCAGGGGTAATGGTTGCGGAAACGCGTTGAAGGAAATGCAAGTCTCCAAAAGTGGTATGTTATATTATAAGTTAAAAACACCCCAAATGGTTTCAAAATTCCTGCCTTTTTTGGGAAAAACTCAAATGATTTTTATGACCAACTTGGATGGAAAAATGCTAGGAATGGAATCTCTGGAATTTAGAACTGTCCTTGCTGGGGTCTATCTTGATTGAACAGCATTCACAAAATAACATTTTCCCAATGAATTCAAATAGGTTCCAGGTCACTTTCATTTTTTTTAGCCACCGTCATTTTGCTAAAAACAATTGTTCCGGAGCATTCAATGTGTTAAGTTGCTTCCGGAGAGCTTTCCAGGGATCCACCGATATTTGCTCCCAAAGAAACGTTTTGTGTTTTCGGGAGCACAGACAAAACGTTTCTTACGTTTTTCGCAATCACATGAAAGGGAAAAAACATTTCTTTGGAAACCAGCTGCCTTATTGCCACTTAAAATTTGGTGGAAACTTGCTGAAAACCTGGTGAAAACTTGGTTACATTTTCAAAACCTGGTGAAAACCTGGTGAAATTAATTGAAAAAACGTTTTTTACACCTTGAAATTTCACCAAAAGAAACGTTTTTTCATTTTTTTGGTGAAATTTATCCGTTTTGGCGGTGAAATTGAAGGCAAAACATAAACCTGGTGAAAACCTGGTGAAATTTAGAAACTTGGTGCAAACTTGGTCAACTTTCCAGAACCTGGTGAATGTTTAGGTGAAATTCGGGCAATTTTCTCGACCTCATGGATTTTCTGAAACCTGGTGAAAACTTGGTGAAAACCTGGTGAAATTCCGAAACCTCTGTGAACATGGCAATAATTTTGAAAGAAATGTTTTGCTCTTTTGGGTCTTGGTGTAAAACGTTTGTTGCAATCTGGACCCAAAATGGTTTGGTCAAAACTCTCCTTTGTCCTCCGTACCTAACCGCCAACCAACTCAACAATTCAATGCTTGGACGCCGACAGCTGTTAATTTAATATGTGGTTTTGAATTTCAGACCAGGATTGTTTTTCAACTTTAATGGAGAGTCCTTGAAGGCAGCCCTCCAAATCAATGCGAACATCAGTCCGATGACAGTGTCGGCTCGAACACGGTGATGAACAGCACATTGTGAAAAACAACTAAACCAGCAACATTGCACAAGGTCCACCTGATGCGTTTCTATTTCTATTTTCCAAAACTGTGCAGTAAGGTGGTAAACCGATGTAAACCCAATCATAAACCACCCCCCATTGCGGTCCATTTTGGGTATATCCCTGCTTCCCTTTACTTGAGATGATAGCCTGATAGCCTTCAACATCAAAGGCTTCCAATTTGCTCCGGGATCAAGGCGCCCCATGGCAGAACTGGTGGTCTACGGCCGGGAGAGCTGCAGTGCCTGCAAGCGCTTCAGGGGAAGCTGCGAGCATCATGGGATCAAATACAGGTGCCGGAACCTGGGCTGATTTTTTCATTCAGAAGAACTATAATTTGCTACTTACATGGTACCCAAATTAAACAGCCTAAGGGTTTGGATTTTCCAAGGTTGATGTTGATAAACCATAACTGCTGCTTCAGCTCATCCGGCAGGTTTGCAGATATCGACAGTGGTAGCAACAAGGCGGAAATGCTTCGCAAATTGCGCGCCACTGAGTGGTTCAAAGGCGGGGGGTGGGATGGTTCACGTATTTCGTACCAGGGATATCCACTGAAAAAATGAACCAAGGCCCCCCCAACTAACCATGGGAATCCATGGTTTTTTAAAGAGGGATTCACAGATATTTGCATCTGTTTCAGGGGTGTTTGCTATCGGAATGGGATTCATCGGGTGACCAACCGGGGGTCAAATTGTTGTTCAAATGTACGGAATCAGACCTAGATCTGGATGAATTTGGATAGAACTTTTGTTCAAAATAGTGGTGTCTACATGACAAAAAGGAAGATGGTGGACACTGGACAGACAGTAACATGTTACAGTAACTTCATGTGTAGCTTAAGAATTCTAGTTACCCATGTGGAAAGAATGCCTTCAATCATTGGATTGGTTTAAGCACAGTTTACTCAATTTACCGGAAACAATCTGGTTGGTGGTTTGGAACCTTTTTAGTTATTCCATAATACATGGGATGTCATCCTTCCCATTGACGAACTCCATGATTTTTCAGAGGGGTAGGGCGTACCAACCACCAACCAGCAGGAAATCCGTGATGATTCCAACAGCTTATCACAGCAAATTAAATGAAGGTTAACTGAGGGTCAAAAGTGAGGATGTATTAGCCAATGCTGATTTCAACGAAAAAAACCATCTCTTTGTGATTCATATTCATGGTACCCTCTGATGATCAAAAATCCCATGAAATCATCATGAAATGGTTGGTGGAAAATCACCGTGAATTCCCATTTCCTTGTGAAACCAGATGACATCAGCCAGATTCATCCCGTTTTCACAGTTTCACAGGTGGCAAATTTGGATTGCCATTGGTGGACGTCTATGGGAAGCTGCTGGAGCGCCCCAGCGAAGCCGCGGTGAAAGCTGCTAGGGATGCATTGCCCAAAGATGATCAGGTGGGGAGCGAGGGATTTCACGATGATTTCCACCAGAAATTCACGATGATTTCAGATGGGATTTTCAGGGGTCGATGTGGATATACAAGCATCAATGTGAGTCTGATGTGGCACCTGAAAAGGGAGGATTAATCCTTAATATGTTGACAATTATAGTAGGGAAAATTAACTTGTAAACCATGGATTTTGGGGTACTTCATTTTTCAGGGAAAATCATGTTGGCACCTCACAAATATCATTTGAAAGAAGAACATAAGTATAAAAAGTAACCAAAAACACAACCTTTGCACGTCTTTTCTTGTAAATGATTCCCACTTGGCATAGACATTTTAACCCTAGTGGCCCGAGTTATAAACCCCAGAAAGGTTATATGTACCTTAAACCTGAGCCAGCTGGCGAAACTGGGGCACCTTGCACATTTTTCCGTTGTGTCTCCACTTTATCCTCACAAGCTGGTCCGTTTACCCAATTTGTCTCAGTTAAATCACCATGAAATCACCATGAAATCACCATGAAATCACCATGAAATCCTATTAAGCCAAAGTATTTTCCCCTTCGACATTTCTTTGGGTACCCGACAGTTTCAGGTCGAGAATCTCAAGAGGCACTTCAAGGACGCTGGGACCCAGCGCCAAACTTTGGTTCGGCTTGGGGACCACAGCGACACGAAACGGTGAACGGTGAAAGTTTCGAACAAATCCATCTTTTTGATGGTGAAATTTGGAGAAATCTTACCATGTACCGAACGGATACGAACGGCCATTTCCTGATGGCTGTGAGAAATCCCATAGTTGCCATAGTTGTTGGTACAAGTTGCAAAAGCTGTTGGTCCAAACACCGCCAAAGCGGTGATGCTGTGTTTGAAGGTATGTCAGCCACTGATTTTAGAACCTGCTGATGGCTGCAATCGAAGATCGGACACCATTGAACAGCTGATCTAGGTATCCTAGTTGTCATTTTGCGAGGTCTGATACATGTAAAGCATTCTGATTTGTGGTACGATCAACCGGAGCCTTTGATCGATTATAACGAAGGTTTTTCTTAATTTCCCTTTCCTTACCACAAAATGATGCGGACACCTTATTCTCGGGATAGAAAACCATCTCAATTTTGAGAGTTTATGGTATATATTGGGTATATACCGCTATGGGGGATAGTTTTCTTCAGAACCCACAGGAAGGTTAGTTCTTGGATCTACTTTATAGCACTGCGTTTATCACATTACTCAGCTTCAGGGTTTCTTAAAATGGGCCAATTTATCCATCGTTGGTCATTTGTAATGAACGGGGAAACCTGTGGTTTGAAACCTTCCCCAACTATCAACATCACACTAACCCCCCACAATCATAGAACAGTAGTTCATCACTAAGCCAAAAATAGGATTTCACCAACTCCCATTTTTTTGGGGTGGAGCTCAAGCGATGCGACATCGTCCTGCCAGGAGCTGGATCTCAACCAGGATGGCCTGCTGAGTTTCCAGGAGATGGACGAGCTTCTGCAGACCTTGGCGCCACAGCTGTCCCAAGGGCAACGCCAGAAGCTCTTCTGCGCCGCCGATGTGACGCTGGACGGAAGGGACGGAAGGGGGCCATGGGGGATGGGGACCATGGGGAGATGAGACTGCAAAAACATAGGGTGGACCTGGCGGCTTATGACCCACTGAAAGCTCGCTTGGTGCCCCCTTCCAAACCTTCAAGTCGATGTATCGTTCCCGAGTGGTTCTAGGGAAACTCTGCTGCTCCCTGAACACTCCAAAGTGAGGGACTTGAAACTTCTTGTCCAGAGAACTTTCAGAAAGGACTTCCTGAAACTGGTTACTGCGGAAGGACATGTCCTAACCAACCCTAAAGAGTCTTTTGAGGCCAGGGGTGCAAGACGGTGAGCCCCTAATGGCTGTGGCGCAAGAAACCAAGTAAGCAATTGTGCGCTGTGGAGGCAACCAGGTGGTTAGCTGGAGCAATTCAGACACCGGTGGTGATTGCGCGGAATCTCAAAATCAATTAAAGAGCGTGCAGCATTTGCCGCAATCTTGGCTGATGGATCGGTGTTCTCTCATCGCGATGTTGGCCGATGGATCTGTGGTGGCCTGGGGATCTGCAGACTATGGTAGTGACAGGTAGTGACAGTTCTGCCAAGATCAGCTCCTGTTTCTGTAGATATTTATGGTATGATCTCTGGATGCAGCAGCCACTGACTTTCGAAAACCGCATGGCGCGCGTCCTCCGGTGCGACTTAAGTACCAAAGAGTCTCATACTAGACTTCATTTTGACATACAATCATTCAGCCAGCCAATCAATTTGTATATACTATACAATATATATATATATACATGTATAAATATATGATAATACATACAATATAACAGAATACAATATAATATGATATGATATGATATAATATGATATTATAATATATATTATATTGTAATGCAATATAATATAATATTAATATAATATAATATTAATATAATATAATATTAATATAATATAATATAATATACTGTAATATAATATAATATAATATAATAATATAATATAATATAATAATATAATATAATAATATAGTAATATAATATAATAATATAATAATATAGTAATATAATAATATAATATAATAATATAATAGTATACTAATATACTAATATAATAATATAATAATATAATAATATAATAATATAATAATATAATAATATAATAATAATAATATATATATACATACAGAAAGGGGTGTTGTGAGCGCTAAGAAAAACATTTTGGGGACATTTTTTGGTGTTTTGTTCACAACAGCTTCTCTAAGTAAGAAAAAACACTTTGGGTGTTTTAAACTTGTGAATTGCCTACAATTTGAGCTTTTGCCTGCTTCGATTGTTTCAAGAATTGCCCATATCTGTCACATCCCGGAGGCGCCAAGAAGCTTACATTCGACAGTTGGAGGCATGATCACATTCCAATTTCCCGTGGTACAGCTGGTGTTGATGTTTGTTTGGATTGCAATGCCGAAAAATTGCACATGACGCGCTTGATTTTGTCACGCCACTTGCCACATCGGTGATCAAATCACATCGCATATTTAACATATTTAGTCGGTAGAGAATCCAAACAAACTAGCAAACCATCATTGAAGTCAGTAGTTGTCCCTAGGAATCGTGGGGGCTTCTGCAATCTCAACTTACGCAATCCTCTGCAGCTTTTTCGGAACTTCTCAGAATTCCGTGGTTGGCCTGCGCAGGCTGCAAAGCCCTTGCCTGATCAGGTGCACGCATGGGGAGCGGTTGAAACCACACTAGTTGCCGTGATCAATTTCATGGAAAGGGACCTGGTCTCTGACAACAAAATATTCTTGTTTCTTTGTGGTTGAACGTTGCAATTTCAACCATGGCTGACCATCGCTGACCATGGCTGATAGTCGTTCCTTTGCAATAAAGCATGCAACAGTCACTATTCTTGGGGTTATCGTGGCCACGCTGTTTGAGGTCCATGGCGGCTCCGCTGCAGACTTTGAGGTGGGCCTCACCATGTCTTTGCCACAGAGTGGGGCCTGAAAACTCCATTTTCCACCGTGCGACACATCCAGATGCATTGAATTGTTTGCTTTTGGTTTGTCAGTCAGAAACCTAATCTTGAAACGGTGACATATGAGGATGATCCCACGTCGTAAGTGTGGATGAGAATCTCCCTTGTGCTGGTCCTGCTCAGTAAACTTTCCCCACGCTCCGCCGAGAGATCTTTGGCCGGCAGGCGTGGACAACGGCGCTCGTTCAACAGGTTGCTGCCCAAATGGGGTGGTTGGAACCAGGAAAAAACTTGGCACATCTTGTGCCCCCTCTCTAGATCTTTTTATTGCGAGGGTTTGATGGGCATGTGATCTGGATCATTCTGCGCAATTTTGAACATGTTCGTTTGAAACGGACCATTCATTATGTTTCAGTGTTTTTGCATGTGTCTGCATATAAAACTTTCAGGCTGTCGGAAAAGCATTGCGAACGTGGTCTGTTTGTCATTCCTTTTTATGTGGGGTAGCGTTCGTTTAACGCGATCTACGCACCACATGTTGCATGGCCCGGCACTACATTTGAATTGATATGCATTTTTTCATTTTGCACGCACACACACTCACATGTGTCTACATGTTTTATATATAGTCACGATCTTGCAGTTAGAAAAAGCTCGTGTCGTAAAATGGCATTTTTTGAGACACGAGTGATCGATCGTGCAGATAGAAAATTTATTTTTCGTTTTTTAGACACGAGTGAAATTGAAATACATCTTCGGTTTTCAAAATTTCCTCAGTTTTTTGCGTTTTTGAATTTTTATAATACATAATAAAGTATTCGAAAACTCAACTCGTGGTCGAAACCCTGTTTTTTTTGCAATTTTCCATTTTTGCGTGCGTATATGCAGTCGAAATGCAAAAAAACATGCGAATTTTCTATCTGCAAAAACTCGGAAAATTTCTATCTGGAAATGCTTTTGTTTTTTTTCTTTTTTTGTTTTTTTTTTTGTGTCTTAAACTTCATAAGACCAACCATATATAAAATCACTTGAATTGGTTGCATTTCAGATCATTTTTGTATTTAAAATATGGTATATATATATATATCAGAACGCATGACATGAAATTTATATGAATGGTTGCATTTCGGGAACAGCAACAACAACAACAACAACAACTGCATCTGGCACATTATTTTCAACCATTTGGAAACTAGATTTTAGCATCTAGATCAAGGGAAGAAATCCTATCAACTTGATGGGCATTAATGCCATTTCTTTTAATTGGGGTACCCCCCATTTGTTTGGTTTCAGAATTCCGAGGTTCCATCATTCACACGTTTCCCCAGATGGGGGTAGTTTTGATTTCCAAGGCCAATTAATCAAACAAAATTGACAAATATTTTTCAGTGCTTCGCACTTTCAGGTTTTCCCCTGTTTTGATGTTTTGTATGTATATAGATTTCTTGAAACATATTTGATTTGTTTGAATGATATATATATATACATATATTCATTTATTTATTTTCATTTATTTATTTTTTATTTATTTGTTTATTTATTTGATGAAATATTTTGATATAGTAAGGAAACCCACCCACCAAACCCCTTCACCCCCCTGAGCAGTTCCTCGTCGACTTCAGCCAGAGTGTGGGTCTCGAGCTCGTGAATTATTAAATAAACCTTCCCATTACCATTTAACCCCTTTTGTGGCAGGGTGCAGTGTTGTTCCGTGGCAAGGCGCAGACACGGTATGCATAGCATACATTATTTCCTGCATTAATAGTTCAGGTATTTGTTGAATGCAAAATGGCATTTGCAGTGTCAAAACTGATATAGGGATTTTGCATCGCAGGTTTGATGATCTTCTTGAGGGAGTTTTCGGATCTCTTTGAAACAAAATACTACTTGGGGAGGGGCAACTACAGATATATATATATATATAAATGACATATAATTGAACCTAAAAATAAAACAATTACACATGATCAAATTTGATGAAACCATATATCACAATAAAGACCATGTAAACACAATGCCAAAAGGATAACAGGTGATGAACAAAATGAACATGGATGAATATAAAAGCGAAAAAAACAATGACACAATGGTTAAAGTTGATGAGACAAAGAACGGAAAAAAAAACTGATGAAAACCAATCCTGGGAGTGGAAAAAATAGATGAACACCCACGGTAAGGTGCTGAAATATGCGGAACAATGATTGCAAACCAATGGAAATGCTGAAATAGGTTGTGCAGTTGCTTGGAAAACAGTGGCAGAATTTTGGCATAGGTTTGAATTTGATAAGAACCAGTGGTAAAATCATGAAATAGTTTGGACACTTGCTGAAAGCCAAAGGTAAAATGCTGAAAAAGGCTGGACATAGATTAAAACCAATTCTAAAATCATGACAACCTGTTCAAAACCAGGGGTAAGATGCTGAAATAAGTTGGACACTTTTTAAAATCAATGGTAAACTGATGAAATAGTCCAACAAATGCGGAAAACTTTGCCAAAAACATGAAGTAGATTGAACTATGTAAACGGATATCCTTTAAAAAACTTTATGAGTGATATTGTTGTGTGCCTCAAAAATTCTGATGTGCACATTCTTGCACATGTGAAAAAACTGTAAAAGGAAATCAAACATTGCGATCTCAAATTGAAGTAAAGAATTGAACACAGCAACATGCATTATAATATGAATATGGTGTGTGCCGTGTCCAAAATTTAGATAAAGACTTCGAAACACATACATGGCACACATGAACAATTTTCTATTTGTGATTTTTGTGTTTTTTTGAAATGGAGAACCATCAGAATCAACATGCTCGGGGATTTTTTTTCCTTCTGGGATTTGTATCCAGAATGTATTCGAGTCTTATGTCCTTGTCTCTATGTCATTCAGCAGCATGTTTTTAGATACTTGAAATTATAGAGAAATTAGGGAAAGATAATGCATAATACACACATTGCAATAGGACGGGAACATGATGAAATCCACGGATAAAAGGAAGAAATGGAGAACACCAATGAAATCCAGTGATTAAATGAGCCAGGAGGTGGGGAAAACTGATGAAACC